TAGTCTCCCCCTCTTTCCCCCGCCTGACGATGACTCAACGCAAAGCCATGACTGCGATAGCCCGTATGTGGAATACCCGAGACGCATCCTACGACACGTTAGTTGTTGTAATCGACTGACGGCTCCCTGCCGCACGAGTACAAAGGTGGAAGACGACTCGTCTATATTACGGGACGATTAAGCTCGATTAAGAAACAAAGCCGCGGCATCCGCAAAGTTAACCGATGCTCTTCGCTGGGAATTTCGCCGGTTATCCGTCTCTACTCTTCGGAGCTAGATCGGATAAGTTCCGAACGGTGGATGTAGTGAAAGATTATGGGCGAAATTCCCTCCCTCCCTCCCTCTCTCTCTTTCTGTCAAGCTGCGGATCTCTGTCAACGAACTAAGCAGAGTCGCGACGACTGGAGGCAAGGTAAATGCGCCGGGGGTAACGCCGGATTAATTAGAACTACCCGTTACGCCGGGGTGGGGAACGACATTAACTCATTTCCCTTTACGTCTAATCGTTTGCGATCAAGGGCTTAAGTGTCATTACCCAACGATCGCGCGAACAAAACGCGTGTATTAGTCTGGAGAAAATGGCAGATCGATCTCCCTGGCGCGGCGGAGCGTCGGTCTCTCCATCGAGGGGTTTGCCACGTTTCTTTGTTCACACGCATATATTTCATGTTGTTGCTGCCACGTCGATGACGCGTGAGACAGAGTTTGGCCGCGGAGAATAGTTTTTTTATCGCCGCATCTTGACGAAGTGAAAAGCTCAACGTCTGGTTTTTCCTCGGTCCTCAACGCTGTGAGGTGTTTCATACTCGAGAAAGAGAGAGAGAGAGAGAGAGGTGCCATCGTGTGACGTAGTTAAATATAGCGCGAATATGAAGTGCAAAAATAGAAGGTGACTTTAGCGGCGAATGAGGAGGAGGAGGAGGAGGAGGAAGAGGAAGAAGAAAGGAATTCGCGGCACGATTCGCACAGAAATGAGAAAAGGATAAGCCGCTCCGCAGCGAGGCAGGGGACTTCCTTCGCATCCCGACGAATCTCCCGCAATTTAAATCCCGCCTTGCCTCGCCTCGCCTCGCGTATTTTTATCGCGCTCCTGCGCTTCCCGTTTCTTCGTTAGCGTTCTTTTCCCCGGATCGAGGTGGAATAAGCTTTCGATGTCGTTGCGAAGATCTCTTCCCTTCGCGTTCTTTTATCCTACGGTGCTCTCCTTCCCTTCCTCTCCCGATTAACGATTCCTCGTCGAGCATCACTTCCTTGTTTTTCGCAACAACGGCGAGATAAACTGCGCTTCCGACAGATTACGCCGCTGAGACTCTTTATTTCCCTTCGAGAGGCGAGCAACCCGGGAAATCATCGGACACACACGAGCCTGTAAAGTTTTATGGGTCACGTAGAGTGGAGAGCGAATCAGTTTTGAGAGATTAACTCTCATCGCGGTCGATCGATGGTCTGTTCGATCACCATCAGCTGCGCTCCCCGAGCGATGTCTTCCTCGTCAAGACAGCGTTGAATGATGCATCTCTCTCGCCGGGATGTATTTCGATGGACTCCTTCGACCCCCCCCCCCTCCTCCTCGCCCCCCGTGCGAAACGAGACTCTCAGGTCGCAGCATCTTCGTGACGCGAGACGGTAAGGCGAAGAGCTCGTAGAGACAAGCGCGGCCATGAGACGCGCAGGTAAAAAGGGCCGCAAAAAGAAGGCGCGAGAAAGAGGATGTAAATTGCGGGCATGCAGCTTTTAGCGAAGTAAAGTGTATTAAAGCCGCACGTAAGCGGCGGACTATTAATTTGCGTTCGCCCGTGTCGGTGGAATGCAAGGCGGGAGCAGCTATGAAATATCATTACACCGATATTCAGGAGCCGGCGACCGTACGCGGAGGAACGTGCAATTTCATTCGCTCACCGGAGAGCGCTTCATCGCGTGGAGTTTCAGGACCCTCGATGACGCGACCCGCACTTTTAACAATGCGGTGATCGGGCTTGATAAATCGCGGCTGCGTACCGCGTTTCTTTGAGGCCCGCTCGAGAGCGCATTAATCAAAATAGACGTCGCATCGTGATAGTCGATGCGCGCGCGATTCATTGATCTCTTTATTAATACAGGTTGCGTGAAAAATTCGCGGAGCGGCGGATCTATAAGTAAACGGTAGAATTATAAATTGTAGTCGGTTATATTTCTATATAACTCTTCACATGAACCTAGGTTAGGTTTCATTTCCATCTGTCAATTCTTTCCGTGTTTACAAGCCAATTGAAGTTGACGTGTCAGTATATTTGTTTGCAATGGAAAACTTGAAACAGCGTGCAGTGATTGAGTTTTTTGGTAAAAAAGGTTTAAAGGCAATGGAAATTCATTCCGAGATGGTAAATGTGTTAGGGGAATCTGCTCCTTCGAAAACAATGGTTTGTAAATGGGCACTTGAGTTTCAACGTGGTCGTAGCATTGAAGATGATCCACGCAATGAACGTCCAAAAAGCGCATCAACACCAGAAATCATTGAGCAAATACATATTATTGTTTCTGAAGATTCAAGTGTGACTACGCGTGAAATTGCTCATATCATAGGCATTTCAGATGAACGGATACGGCATATTTTGCATAACGAATTACAAATGAAAAAGGTGTTTGGAAAAGTGGTGCCGCATACGTTAACAATTCAACAAAAACTCGCTCGAAAGCAAATTTCTCAGCGTCATTTGCAATCATTTCAAGAAGAATAAAACCGATTTTGTGCGTCGTTTTATAACTATGGATGAGACTTGGATCTATCACCATTATCCTAAATTGAAACATGAACGTTTACAGTGAACTGAAGCTGGATGTTCAGCTGCAAAGCAAACAAAGCATGAAAGATCGCAAGAAGACCAAGAAAGGTTTTGGCGTCAGTTTTTTAGGATGCTAAAGGGATTTTATTAATTGACTACCTGGAAAAAGGTAAAACAATAAACTCTGAATATTATTGTAATCTTTTGGATCAATTGGACGCAAAAATTCGTGAGGAAAGACCTGGTTTGCAGCACAAACAAATCATTTTTCACCAAGACAACGCACCTGCTCACACAAGTGTTTTGTCAATGTCTAAATTCAATGAATTGAAGTACAAATTGCTTGATCATCCACCGTATTCGCCAGATTTGGCACCCAGCGACTTCTGTCTGTTCCGAAACCTGAAACAATTCCTCCGTGGAAAGCATTTTTTGTCGAATGAAGAAGCGCTATAGCAGCCGTAGAGGCATATTTCGCAGACCTTCCAGAAACACACTTCCGCGGTGGAATAAAATTATTGGAGAGCCATTGGGCCAAGTGTATTGAAGTTAATGGAAACTAAATTGAAGAATAAAATCGTTTGTAGAATTTGGTATTCTTTATTTCAGTTTCGCTCCGCGAACTTTTCACGCAACCTGTAACCGGACATGCGCGCACACGCATACACACAGACACACACACACGCACACAGAGCGGAGCCCGCGCTTCGGAAAATACGAGCAACAGAAGCACCGGAAGCCATTAAAGTTAGAATCTTGGCGCAGACTTCCGCCTCCGACGTAATGTCTAAATTCGTAATACACTACTCTACTCTCGCCTGGGAAATGTCCGGCCAGCGTCTGCTTTTTCTACTGCTCCGCTTCGCCACGTCCGCGTGCCGTCGCCGTCGCGATAAGCACGCTTCCGAAGCATCTTTCAATTCTTCCGCATTTATTTTTCATATTTCATTTGCCATTTATATACACGCCACGAGTACAATATTTCTCTTCTCCCCCGTCCCCTCCCCTCGTCTTCCTTCGCGTCCTTCTTCCTTGACGACTCACGCGAGCGTGTCTGTGAAAATAATGAATTTCGTCGGGCTGTGCGTGGGAGAAGCTCAAGCTTCATATCGGTCGCAACCTTTTCGTTCCCAGTCGCACTCGTCCAGGTGTGATCGGCGTTGCCTGGAAACCTAGTCGCCTGCGCCTTCGCCTTTAATACCCGTCGCGCGCGCGACCCATCGCGTATGTCGTCAAACGAGAGGAAAGCGATGCGCGCGTGTGCGCGTGCTCGAGCGCGCAGAATGCTCGCTGATGAAAAGTGCGGAAGCACCCTGGTGGTCGGAGGACGGCTGTCCTCGACCTCATCGACTTCCGCGTATACACACCTGTGTATAAAACGCGCACGTTTCCTCCTCCTCCGACGCGCCCCGCGCTACAATTGAACAAACACCGCCGATATTTATGCAAGCGCCATCCGGCACGAAGCTCTGTTTGCACGTCGCGCGAATGTAAATTCCGTCGGCTCGAGCTGCGGCCGTGGAGTCCAGCGCGCCGAAGCGGCCGTCGTAAAGTGAAAACACGCGAATAAAGGAAAGACTCCTCTGCCGGGTAAGAAGGACGAAATTGCGCAATGTCGTGACGCATGTTACAATCGCGGTCTCCACTCGCGATCGAGCTGGTCGCGAGGAAGAGAGTAGAGTAGAATAGAGGCGAGAGGGAGAGAGAGAGAGAGAGAGAGAGAGAGAGAGAGAGAGAGAGAGAGAGAGAGAGAGAGAGAGCCGCGCGACACAGCCCGTGTGCAAAATCTTCGTGAACGAAAGCGGACGCGACGCGGCAAAAAGAGATCACCGGGCGGAATATGGCGCGTGAGATTGTACGATTGTTTCGGCGCGAGTGAGTTCCAAACGCGTTTTACGAGGCGCGCCAACTGCGACTCGACCGTTAATGTCTTGTAAAGTACGTAAAGTACCGCCGCCGCTCCCGCGGCACGTTAGGAAATACAGAACGAGGTCGCGCTCGAGGAGGAAGTTTGTTCCCTAATAATGGCTTCCGAACAAGATCTCGACGTGGAGTTTTCCGCTGTAATTGCAGTGTCCCCGTCGCCGCCGAGGTGGCAACAGGGAGGGGCGGGGGGGAGAGCTAATAACAACACGAGGTTCGATCGTTGCGAACACGCGGCGGATCGTAATTGCGCGTGTAACGTGAACGACGACGAGTCTGTTAAGCGACGGCATGCGAAAAGAGAGTGCAACCTACCGTTTCCCGTCGCTATGATGTTACCCAACTGCCAAAACTTGCTGAGAGTCTTGCCGCCCTCCTCCGGCGTAACCGAGCCTGATGCGCCGGCTTCCGGTTGTGTCGTTACCATCTGCAAGCACATATTTCAGCGAAATAAGCAAGCCGTCTCACGGCACGATGAAGTATACGCGTATTTATCCTGAGACAAATCCTGGAATTAACGTGGGATTAATTACACATAAGTTAATTAATTAGCCAGTGGTGTGCGAGCATTTCGTGAGCATGTGCTAACTCGTTGTGTACACTTTACATCAGCGGCTACCGCCGATTTTCGCACGTAGGGCTGAAACTTGTCGCAGTGAACACTAAAGGGGGAGATCTACGGTAGAAGCCGTCCTCAGTCGTTAGGTTGTAAGAAACAATTGGCTAATGATAATTTATTGTTCTTGGACCGCAAGGGGAATAATCGACATTGGTCAATTTTTTCTACGACTGTACGATTTCTACAGCGTACATCTCGTTTAATCGTTAAGTTAGATTTCACGCTAATCGTTTCGTCCATGCGTGCGTGTTCGCACCGTAATTACATGTTCTCGTATCAAAAACGTTTTGCCCCGCTCACTTGTCGGCTTTGAAAAACGTCACGTTGAATGCAAACTGCCGAGATCGTCTGCCTACGATAAATTCTTCGTCGGCGCATGAATAATTACAAGTACCTCGTGCGCGGCACGAGCGAGCTCTCCGGGAAAATACGACCGACCGAAATAAGAGCGAAAACAAGGGACACGAGTTTGCGAAGCAACTGGCCGAATGTTAATAGCAACAGTAGCGGCGGAGAACGGCACGCATATCTAAATGTGTCTACGTGAGATCCGACCGACATATTAATTAGTTAATGTTCGACCTGCGTAATACCAGCCGCGCGCATCGCGGCGACGTTCTCGAACTCCGTTGTCGTGATCGCACGATGACAAATGAAACCGCTCACAGTCTACGAGGAGGTCACGAGAAGTTGAAATACTTTCCGCCGTGCGAGCGAAAACTCGCTAAAATTGAAGGTAAACACGCGACACTTCGGGTTACGTTTCATTAGAGCGCTTCATTGCGTTACTTCGCAAGAATTATCGCCATGGGGCTCGACTCCGAGCCCCGGAGACTCGGAGATTTTAATCAAGAGCCGCCGCTGCGGTCTGCCTACATTCAACATCGGAGTGGCAAGATTTCTCTCGACAAGGGCGAGGAGTAGAAAAAAGCGAGGGAGGATCTACGCGCGAATTCTTTTATGCAAAACGCGCGGGGAGTGAGTTAGCGACGCTGGCTGGTCGCTGGTGTTCTGGCGTTTCGGCAATTTCATTTCTCAAAACTCTCTCCCGGCGATTTTATCACGCCGCGCATACTGGGAGCAATTTTCGCGGTTGTTTGGAAATTCGCTGTAAAATTCGGAGCGGCCAATTAGCCCGCCGAACCGACAATTCTCCCGGCGAGGATGCAACGCAGCGCCACGCCGCGCCGCGCCGCGCCGCGGTATATATCTAGCTGCGCGCAAAATTTAATAAACCGAGCAGCAGAAAATGCAATAAATTCTTATATGTTTAACATCGTTCGGGCGGACGATCGATTACGCTCTGTTTTCCTTCAGGAGAACCGAGGAGAAAGAGTTCCACGGTTCCCGCGTTTTACGCTGAGAGAGACTCCTACCCGACTAGAAATTTATCCCACGGTCCTGATCAGGTTAACCTCATTTGGACATCAGGTCCCAATAAGGTAAGTAATACTATCGGGTCCTAGTAAGTCATGTGACGCAGCGTGGATATCAGGACCTTAGTAAGGATTTATAGTCAGGTTCTTATTGAGTTACCTTATGAAATCCTTATTACGTTTTTTTTGTTCTCAAATTATGGCTCCTGATTACTCGCCACGACTATATTGGATGATGATATTAGAAATACGAAGTGACACGCTGAGAATTCTTTCATGTCATTTCCAAATAAAAAGATATTTGCATGACATAATATTTTACCATCGCTTGAGCATATTTGTAAAATGTTTCGGAAAAGAAACATAAAATGAATATCATAAGATCGTAAAGTATCACAAAGTGACAAGACATAAAGTAGTGTTAAAGAGAAAAGTTGCATGTCACGTTAATTTTACAACTATTTATTAACTACTAAAAAAAGGATAGTTTCTGTAGCATTTTAAAAATATATTCAAGTGATCCGAAGTGTTTTTTCAACAATGCAGACATCTTTATACTTGCAAATGACACCCACAAATTTTTTTTGTTAAAACTTGATAATGCAAATCATCATTAGGTATAATGAATAAGATTAACTGAATTATATTATATCATACACTAGGTTGATACACTAAGGTCCTAATGTGGACCTAATCATTATAACCTTATAAAGGTCTTGCTTACTCATTTGTCGTTAGAACATTATAAGGACTGACTTACTTAGGATTACCTTTCGTTCACCCTATTAGCTCCTTATCAATGTTAGGTGAACCTGATCAAAATTTCTAGTCGGGTAGGTGTATCGCGGAGCGCAACCGAAGATATGGAACTGTAAAATTCAATTTTCCTCCCTCTCCCTCTTCCTTCTCCCTTCCCCTCGCCACCGCGCACCGTGAAAACAAAAAGGAGCAATTTCCGACCCGCGCACCGCGACTCCCCCGCGAAGCACCAGCCAGTCAAAATTGCGAATTTTCCCCGGACTTCGATCGCCGCGGTGACCTTTGACACATAGAGGGCGACGATAAATATCCTTGCAGATACAAGCGAGTCCGTACGAAAGCCAATCTCGTAATCGAGATGTAAATTGCGCCACATCTGGTCGATTGCCAATTCCTCTGCCTTCTCCTCCCCTTCGCTCTCTTCCTTTGGCTCCCGATCGTACTTCACTCTTACCCCACGTGCATAGCCCTCCCTCCCCCCTGCCCCGCGAACAGCTGCTGTACTATTCGGCACGTCGAGAGCTCGACATAATGCGCGACTCCGCGTGCTGGAGCCGTTCCAGTCGGTCGGAAACAGCCGGCGGACGCCCTCGTGATTTGATCCTGCGAGCGCGCGCGCTCGCTGATGGAATGTAGCTGCATGTACACATTGGGAATATTAAATGCATGACGACTCGCGGTCTCTCCGACCTTCCTTCCTTCCTTCCTTCCTTCCTTCCTCCCTTCCTGCCTGCCTGCCTGCCTGCCTGCCTGCCTGCCTGGCATCATTTCACAGATCAGCGCGGCCCTTGCATATGGAGGACCTCTCGTCGTTCCTTGCGCTCCGTCCTTGCGGCGTGCATGTAAGTCGTCGCGCTATATAGCTGTCGTATTTCCCGACGTTGCATATGCATGCTTCATCTGTACATATACGGCAAATATCTCGTCGCCCGTGGTAACTAATAGCGCAGCGACCAAATCACACGCTTCTCCGAGGAGAGGGAGAGGGGGGGTCGCTTTTGCGATTCCGCGCGATAACTCGAAGAGGTACGCATCTCCGCTCGCGAACGCGAGGGGAATCCACCGGCGGATATGATTCGTAATTAGCGTGATGAATATTTCAATCTTGGATGTGTGTTTGCCGATAAATATCTCCCTATTGTGGTAATATCAAATTTGCTCGCGCGCTCTTGGCGTATTCCGGAGATATACGCGCGCGCGTTCGCCGTGATTGATATATATGAATTGCAAATCTTGCGCGCAGGGATATTGCACGCTGCGATGCGTGTTCATCGGCTGTTCCAGCTGATATCGCTCTTGGCTCTTGGCGATGGTATTCTCCGGGAAAGCCGAGAGCCGTCAGAATTCTGCCTCCGGGAAGTAACGGCGAGTTTGTCCAACATCTAATGGTCGCTTCGGACTTGTCACTGCAAATCGCGATGACAAATAGAAAAAGTGGAATACTCGCGAAGAGACGTTTCAACAGAGCTGAAAGCTGCACCCCCTCCCCCCCCCCCCGCCCATCAGAGATCTATAAATCAACTTTTCCCTTGAAATGAAACAAACAGCGCATAACGTTGCAAATTGAATTTCAGTCGAGCGATAATAAAACTCTTTCACCAAAATCAAACAAATAAATAATATAACAAGGACGAGCAGAAGTTCCTTCCGAATTCTCTTGCGAATCGTTGAAGATTGTTCACAGCCGCAGGTAGAGTCTCACCGTTGTGAATCTCAATTCGCAGTCGTATCGAGAGCGAATAAATTGCAAAGAGAGAAAGAGAGAGAGAGAGAGAGAGAGAGTTACATCGGCGTGTTCGCTTTACGTCGCTCACCGCCGCATCTCTAATTAATCCGCGATCATGCGCGCACCGGCGCTGAAACTCGCTCGTCTCAACATTTACACACTCGACGCTGCTGGCTGTCGAACAACCGTCGCCATTACCGATAACACGTGTCGCATTAGTAAACGTTATGACACGGGTAAACCGGTGGCCGAGTTCGATTGTCGTTGCAGCGCGCTGGCGGCTGCAGTCGTCGTCGGCAGCTGGCTGAATTTAATCGGCGACGATATCTCCGTATTTTACATCGTCCGCAGCGCCGGCCGGGAAACAGAACGCGAAGGTGCGAGCTGCCGTAAATTGCAACAATCGTCCGACTGCGAACATTATCGCCCCCGTTTGTGACAAATAATCGCGAAATATCCGGAGACGACCGGATTTCTCCTTGGATGGTCTCGCGCATTTGCGCCTGCACGGAACATTTCTCACCGACGCGATAACCCTTCTTTATGCGCGTTTCTAGAAATTCATTTCCGTCCTCTAACAGGGTGTCTACTCGAGACGTGGAAAAAGATTCTGCGAGATCTCCTGGGCTTCCCGCGGCCGCTTCCGCTCAAATTTCCAGGCTGATGCGGGCCGCGTCTTTATACGTAGACTCAACATGAATTTATCTATTGTGAGCCTCTCTCTCTCTCTCTCTCTCTCTCTCTCTCTCTCTCTCTCTCTCTCTCTCTCTCTTTCTCTCTTGCGCACGCGCACCATTTCCCGCCCGGAGAAATATAATTATAGAGAAAAGAATTGGCTTTCGAGAGTCGCTCAGACATTATAGATTCGATGACATAGTAAGAAGAGGCGGGAAATTTTCGCACGAAGAGAGCTGACGCTCTTCCGCGCAAACGTAAAATTCGCCGCC